ACTTCGAGTCTGTTTTTTTTTTTCCTTTGCCGCTATGTGATTCACGTTGTCACGGTTGCTAAGCAACAGAACGCCACGGTAGAGGCTAAGCAGCTAGCTGAAAGCTACAGCTTCTCTCTTCCGGTCCTCGAAGACCCAATGATGCAAAACCTGACTTCGGACACAGCTGTTCTTTGTTCGACTCCCCCTCGAGGTCTGGATCACTTCTGTTTTCAGCATTTTTGTTTGCATCTCTTTTTTTGTTGCATGTGTTTTTCTCGTCTTTGCTGGGTGTTTGTACCTGTTGGCCACCATAACATACAGTGGTGAAAGTAAATATACTATCAAATAGCAGCGTTCCAGTATTTTTAACAGTAAATTTAGTTTTACTCCTGCATTCACTTTATGAGTAAACTACTGCCAAGAAAACTGTAATGCTACTTTTTAAAGTACAGTCTTAGTTTTACGATAGGACATTAATACCTGACAGAGTGTAAGCTTCTTAGAAGTGCTACAATTGGTGCGGTTCTAATATGCAAAATCTGCATAATCAGAACTTCACATAACACAGAAGAGGATGTGATAAGTAACCGTCAGAACAGAATTTTTTTTTAAACCACATATATTTCCAGTATATTCAAACATTCAAAACAAATAACACAAAACCATTCCTCAGAGAACTGGTAAAAAAAAAATAGGCCTTCAAAGTCCATATATACTTTCACTAACACTGGAATAAAAATTGAAGACTTTCAGTTTACAGCAACATAAACTGGGTTTAACTCAATTTCTACAATCTTATGAACATAAAAACACAGTTCTTAAAGAAATATCCATGCTTTAGGTATCACTAAACAAATCAAAGAAAAATGACTTCCAAAATCTAAAATTCAACATGGCTGAAATAATGTGGAATTCTAGTATTAACAGGGTTTTAAAATGTGGTTTTCAAGAGTACAAGTGGCACTTACTTTATTAGATGCAGATGAAGGCACCGTCCAACATGGAAAAAGAAAAGACAATACAATTTAGATCCTAAATAATATGGAAACAGAAATATTTCAAAGAAAAGTAAAGAACAACTAACCTAAATGAGATGCCACTCAAAGTCCATCAGGTTTTTGATGAGGGTGGAAACCTGAACCGTCACTTTTTCTTTTGTATGGTCTTTCCTGTCTGTTTGGATACCATTTTCCCCTTGACCGGCCTTTGTGCCCCTTTCTGGGTTATTCCCAATGAAGCGACTAAAAAACAAAATCAAAAATGGGAAAATTCCTGAGAATACAAATAGTGTGGCATTTTGAATACAGCTGGTACAATACATAAATAAAGCTGTTTTTAATTACGTAAAGAGAAAACATCACCACCTTTGTCAAATGTTAATCATAACTTGCTTTAGAACTTTAAAACCAGGTCATTGTAAAAAAAAAATATAGGAATGGTTTTACTGTTGAATGAACTCCAAAGTCTTGGCTTTGGAGTTCATGGTCCACAGTTTGACATGAGCTGTTTTGGATTCTTCTTGTGGCCTACAAAGCACATGAACCAACAGAAGAATGCCTGGTTTCCCCAGCCTGGAGGAACAACAGGATAAATAGCAGACACATTAGGATAATAAAGATAAGAAAAAAATAGGCAGCCAATATGTCATTGTTTATTATCATTATTATTTATAGAGACAAAAACATTTTGGCTTAGCTTTGATCGCATAGATCAAACCACCGGTCCAGCACAGCCACTCTCTCCATTATGCTGTCTATAGCCGAAAACTTCAAGAAAATGACTCCGCAGATAATGTTAACTCAAACGGCCTTTCTGACAGTTTTAATGTTCGTTTAACCACCCGACACCCCGTGCTACACCTGCATGGCTAGCTTTCGCTGCTAACATAAATAATAAACCAAGGGTGCTCACGTCCAGTCCTCGAGAGGTCCTGCAACTTTTCGATGCATCTTTACTCCAACAGACCAGGATCAGCTCCGAACAGACCTGCTAACCAGCCATTCATTTGATTCAGGTGTGTTAACTGGCACAGGGAAGCATCTGAAAGTTGCAGGATGGCAGCTCTCAAGGACTGGACTTGAGCTCCCCTGTACTGAACAGTCGTACCGCGATATCCAAACAAATAAACTTATGTTAAGCATAAGTTGATACTCTTGCGCAAACAGAAAGTTAATGCATTCATAAAAACATAATCAAAATCTAAAACATGATGGTCTTAACATGGAACTTACCTTGTTTTTTTTGTTTGTTTTTTTAATAGATCTTTATTGAGATACAGAATACATAACAGTATAAACGCAGCATACATTGTGGTATAATGTCCGGGAGTTAAACGTTGAGACAATACATCACCAGAACAAAAAGAGCATGTTTTAATAGCTTCGGGGAACTTACCTCATTATGATAAGATCCAGACAAGACGCCACACTGCTGTCTCCCATCAAACACGTGACGTCACAGATACGTTGCGATTGTGGGAGCAACTGTTTATCAAACACCATCTCTTTAGGGAAACTGACAAACCCATCTTTGAATTTGACTAAACAAGTGTTTAATTAATATTATATTGTTAACATACAACACCAACACTGGTAATTAGGCCCGAGCAGCGAAGCGCTGCGAAGGCCTATTGTAATCTAACACTGTTGATTATGCTCTGTAGATTTCAATTCATTCCCTAAAATATTTATTATGGAAAGTATTTTTTTTTCTTTCCATTTAATATTGTCTTTAAATGCCGGTTCTCTAAGATGCAAATACAAGTAAAATGTCTTGCCTAGGAAAAAAACTGTATTGAACAATTATTTTGCGGTAGTTTACTGCCAGTCGTCAGTCTTGATTGTGACAACAGAAGAAGACATCAAATTGACAATATCCTACCGTATTTTGGAATAACAGTATGTTACTGCTGGAATTCCGCCGTAAATTTACAGCCATTTCTAGGAGTGTAGAGAATTTATCTCACTGAAACTAATGAAAATTTAAAAATGGGGAAGGTTTCCTAGTTTGCTACTTTCTGTGCTGCAGTATCAACATTTAAAGTGCAGTTGTTACATGTTTCTTCTAAAATACATCTGAGTTTGTTGAGTCATTGAGTGGAATGCTTTAATTTAATTTTACACTGATCCATGTAAGATGATATTTCCAGCTTTCGTTAACTGATCTGCTTTGGCTCCAACATTCAGGCTCACATTCAACACTTCTGTTTACTTTAGTTATCTCTCTGTCCCATTTGCTTGTAATAATAGTTTGTTCTGTGGCATCTGATGTCAGGCAGGGTTGCAGATGCAGGTGTTGATATTTTAATTGAAGAACTGTTCAGATGTGTTGTTTTCAAATGCAACAAAGGATAACAGAGGTTCATCTGATACCTTTAAGAGGCAATTAAATCAAACCATTACTAATGTGTAAAAAATAGAATACCAAAAAGTGCAACTCTGCCACCTGCTGACATCACATAGTAACTGCAGCGAAAAAATATATTTCAAGACTTAATTTTTTGTCATTTTAATGATTATGACAGAAAAAACCCCATAAAAAATTGGCAAATTAGGCAAACCATTGCAGGCTGTGGTTGGTTGGACCTGAGTACATTAACAGTAAAAATCAGACAGCAGTTTGTTTCATTACTTTGGCTGAATCATAATAAACTGCCTCGTTATGAATTGTAAATCAAAACTAGCTAAACTGGCTGCATTGCTTTTATAGACTTAAGTTATGTTTGTTGTTGTTGAAGGTTGAAAATATTTCAATCACATTTAGCTGTTTAACTCTTACTTTAATGAGATGAGTTTGAATCGGGAGAGGCTGAGCATTACCACTAGCCAACAGCTGGTGTGGGGCCCATCTGTACAGGCTCCACACACTGTACCACCGACCTCAGTCAATTTTTAAAACCTTTGTATCTAAAGAGGCCCTCAACTTATTGAACTCAAGAGCTACGTAAAAACACATTTTAACTCCTTTGATTGAAGTCAACATTGTAATTTGACATACACCCAAAATTCACTGGACTTAGTTTTAGTGTTACCAAACCTTGACCAAAGTCTGAGGTCAGTCCTCTGACTGGCAGAATGAGCAAACGCTTCGCCAAGAGCTGCTGGGTTTATCTGAAAAGTTACAACTCTCTAAAAATAAGTCCTTATCATTTTGACCCTTATCATATGATGGGGTTTGTACGTTTAGGCTTTTATTTTATTTATTTCCCCATCCTCATCTGAGGAAGTTAAACCGATTAAGGGGTCCAGGATTAGTTGAATATGTTGGGCTAAATATGTTGTAGTTTTCCTATTAACTAAAAAAAATTATGTTTGTGATACACCAAATTCATAATTACTTTGAAAATGTATATCTTCTGTTATACTTTTCCCCATGCAGGTCTATCTTTTTCAGCAGAAAAAGATAGTCATGGATGGATAGTCATCAGTCATGGACTGATGACGCATAGTGGTCCATTCTGTACTGTAATCTGTAGAGTAAACACAGGAAGGCTAACTTTATCACTTTCCGTTTGCGTTTGACTGGTGTAATTTTAGACAATGCCACACTGTGACACTATTGGCTGTAATTTAATAAAAAAAGAAAAGAAAGAAAAGAAAAAAAAATCAGGTGAATCTGGATAATTTCCCAAATGAAAGAAGAGCACAGAGCCAGACTGGAAAACAACTGCTGAAGGACTTAATCTGTGCCCTCAACATTTCTCCATAGAACCAGCAAAACTAAGGAAGGCTCTAAGAGGTGATCGTTACCTTAAAGAGCTAAAAATAAATGCCGTGCAGCTGCTGAGACAGGTAGAGCGAAAACCTCTATGAAATGCTAACAGAGCTATGCTGCCTTCTGACGCAGGAGAGAGCAAGGGGGAATCCACGGTTTCAAAAAAGTTACATACAGTAGCTTTAAACATATGATGCAGTGATAACAAAACCTTCATACGGACATATGGCTTTAATAACTTTAAATCACTGTATTTAGCTTTTCTTAGGTCGGCTCTAGGCATTTATCTAATTTATCTATTTCCAGACTCCAGTTTTGAAAATGGGATAAAGTCTATAAATATATATAAATGCTTAAATAAAGCATGTCTTGTCCATGTTCCCCACTGACAACTTGTAACAATTTTTCCAATTATTTTCCACAAATCACTTTGATCACTGCTCATTAAATAACAAGCAATCAGCAAATCAGTAGCCAGACCCCAGAGCATGGCAGAGCCAACAACTTTGTCCTCCAGGTAAGAGGCGTTTACTTTGGGACAAATTGGGACAAACCCTCTGGATTGATTGACAAGTGTCCTCATGTCAACTTAACATTCAAAATGTGCAACAGAGGTGACAAAACACCCGAATGGACCCCACACATCAAAAATGAATCTGGTACTGCTGGTCATCACACTTTTAGTGAGTAATTTATGGTGAAAACAACACTGAAGTATCAACACTGTACTCTAACTCTGAAATCTTAACTCTGGAGAATTTGCTTTGTGTGCTGAGATGGCTGCTCATCAGTTTGTTTTGTCCTATTTTGACAAAGTACAGGACTTCATTGTAACACTTTCAGTTCCTGATGAATCAGGAATTTCTATCCAATTTCATCATTTTGTGAAAGTAGCTAAATTAAAACCTCTACAAAAAGCCAGTGGTTCTGCGGTAAGGACTAAAGGTGCCGGCTGGCTAAGAATTCAGATCATTCTGCATCACGTTTGCTGATAAAATGTCTTATCTTTTTTTTTTTTCAGCATTGTTTGAATTTTCTTAACATGTATGTTTTGTTTTGGAGCCGGGGCATCTTGTCCCAGAAGTAGGCTGCTGCGCACTCTTCCTCTTGCCCATATATGGGAGACGCTGTGACTGAGCGCAGCTGGCTTGTTAGGGAGACAGGTAATCAGCATTTACATTTAAAAGCAGGTTGATGGCTGAGGAGCTCACATCCCAGGCTGATGGTTCATACAGAGGTATGTGTAACATTGATCTTGAGGTGGGTTTAGACTTTGTTTCTGATTTTGCCACTGATTGATTTAGGGAACAAACTTTAGAGAGTGATGTCAGGAGCACCTTTACTGGTTTCACTTTCGAGAAGGCAGGGGGCCTTTTCTCATGATTATCTGGTTGCTTAATATGCTTGTTTAACTTGATCTCTTGTGTGTAGGTTGGCCTGCTACTGTTTCAGTTTAGCTTTAGTTTAGTTCTTTTTGGGTAGTTATTGTTTAAAAGTGTATATTTTATGGAAGGTGAGTTTCTATTGTAGCCCTCTGGCTTGTTATAAATGAGGACCTATGCTGTCCCTGAGTCCCAAGCTGTTTAAGATTGAGACTAGTGGAAGGGGAGTTTTTCTTTTTCACCAGGATTTGTGTGTTTTTGTTGGAACACTTGGGTGTATTTATGTTTTCCTTATTCCTCCCCCAAGCAGTCTAATTTTATTTAAATGGGTTTTAACTATTATTCAACTTGATGGATCCCAGGGCCAGTGTAGACTCACTTTTAGTGTGGTCATTTCTGAACAATAAAATAAATTGACTACATTTGAACTCAAGCTGTATGTAATTTGCAGCAGTGCCTCTGTTAATCTTTTTACAAACTTGCCTGTGTGATCTGGTAAAAAGAGGCTCTAAGGTTCTCCTTGTAGTAAAAGCTGTACCTAAGGTCAGTGTTGACTTTTCTTCAGCTTGCAAATCTGCATTGTGTCGTCATCTGCACCATGAAGTTGTTGGCTGTGTTCTTCCTCTTCATAATGGAGAAATGTTCACTGGCACATGGTGACGGTGAGTATTTATTGAATATAAATAAATAATAATGTGACAAACATACCAACTCCTGTTTAAAAGATCTAAAGCCCCAGATGATGGCTCTCCTGGTGACGGTCAGTGGATGTTTTTATTCCCTTGCATTTGTTTGTCAGAAAAAGTTCATTTGTTCCGGAGGTCTGTTGAGTGTCCCACTGACTGGACTGCAATCAACGATCGCTGTTTCCGTTACGTTGCCGATATCAAGACTTGGGCTGCAGCTGAGGTGATTTGACGATGTTCTCAATTTTTTTTTTTTTTTTTTTTTTTTGTTATTTGCAGGTCTTAAAGTCAAGCTGCTTCACATCATTATGTGTTTATCTGTAGAAACACTGTCTGACCTTGGAGGCAAACCTTGCTTCAGTTCACAGCCAGGAGGATAACGATCAGCTTCAGACTCTGATATTTACGGCAACTCGAAAGTCCAAAGAAGCATGGATTGGAGGCTCTGATGGACAGGAGGTATAGCAACCAGTACACTTTGGTTAAGTATTTTGTGAAACACTGAATGAAACGTGTCGTCTGCTGTACATTGTCTTCCAGACAAATATTTGGTTGTGGAGCGATGGAAGCCCTATGACCTACACAAACTGGTGTCCAGGACAGCCTAATAATGCACTTACCCTTCAGCACTGCATTCAGATGAACTATTCAAGTAAAAGAGAATTTCACACAATCTGTTTTTGTTGCTTGGACTTGTGTGGAAAACTTGTGCATGTTAACTTTAATTGACCTTTATATAAATTTACTGCATTAACAGGAGGTGATTTTATTTGATCAACCTTTCCAAAAATATTTCAGGACAAGGTAAGCCACTTGGTGGTTTTTATGATCTGATGTTTTGTTTTTCTTGCTCCTAGAAAAAAAGTGCTGGGATGATGTGAAGTGTTCTACTTTGCTGCCTTCCATCTGCGTCAGGAAAAACTTGCCACCTGCTGAGGCCTAAAACGGATCCAGTGGAGGATGTCTGCTTCCCCCCCAACAAAAACAAAATAAAAATTGTGAAATGAGAAACTTGGTTTCACCTCGTAGCTTGTAGTCATGCTATTTAAATCAAATGTTGCAACTTTTATTTCCATAAATAAGTTGCAAGTCAGGAGTTCTCTGTGAAACATGTTGAGCACAAATGAGCTAAAATACAAAGTTGTGGGGTTGAAGGAAGAAAATGACCAGGTTGGGTCACTTGGCATAAAGAATGAAATCATTTTGACATTGGGAGGCGTTTCATCTGCACATGTTCGGGTTGTGACTCATGCTGGCAGGAACATCATCCAACCACAGTTTGAAAATCCTCCAAACCCCATTCCAGATGAGGAATGGCCCAAAGAAGGCCTCAAGCCAGATGTTTTCTGTGGCATGAAGCTGGTAAGTTTGTCCTGCAACTGGTTGCCAGTTTAAGTCCTCACCTCATCCATCACTGTTGGTTCCTTGGGCAAGACTCTCCAGCACCTTACCTGCAGGTGAACAACCTGACCAATGCCTGTTCCACTGCCATTGACCGCAACACACCGCTTGGCATTTCGCAACTGAATGATCCATGTATGGAGGACCAAAACTGACATTAAAAAGTAAAGTATAAATGTGAATATTTTTCCTGAAGATATGTATATATATTTTCCTTACACATGTTTGTCAAATATATACATTTAATTTTCCCTGATTAAGCATATTCAAGTGTATTTATATATACATATTTTCCCTTCTCTTTATGCAAGCCTTTCTACCTTGTCTCTTTTTTTATATATAAAAACTATGTTCATTTCCTGATAACATGCAAGGATGAGGAAAAACAAAATGTATTCCTGCTTTTATTTTCAGTTGTCAGTTTTGGTCCTCCATATCCACAACATACTGACTTCATGTCTGAGCAGAATATGTTCCTGATGACAATCACCCATATTAATTGAATCAGTGTTTCTTCATTACATTTTCTAATGTGAATAAAAAACAAGAGGAAGAGATCAGGATATATCAAACTGTAAGGTCATTTTGGACTATTTTGACTCTTTCAAATATCTGGGAATTTAGTGAAAATGCCATAAACAAGCTCTGATATAGAGCTATAGATGAGTTGTGTGATCTTGAAAATTCAGGTCTATTTTAGCCTGTTGAAGCAGGTCGACCAGCAGCAGCTCGGAGAGAGACGGCTGCTTATCCGTTTGTTTTGGAACAACGAGATCCTGATTTGAGTCAAAGTACTGAAACATCCAGACGTCTGGACATTACAATGCACAATATATCACTGCATTTTGTGATTTTCATGTGTGAAAATCACATTTGTTGTGAGAAAACAAGAAATGGTGCAACTCTGCCACTTATCCTGACATCACATGGTAGCTGAAAGAGTGAAAATGTTTCAATACTTTTTTCATGTCATTTTAAAGATTATAACTCAGAAAATAATAAAAAAAAAATGTTTGGCTGATTAAATTAGACCAAGTGCATTGCAGGCTGTGGTTGGATTTGAATTGAAAATCTGTCCAATCAGATCGATCAGGAGAGTTTCCTCCACCAACTGACAAATATACCTAGAAAGCAGGGAGGGTAACTGTTCAGTGAGAGCAAACCAGAACCACTCACTCTACATGGTGTACAAATGAGCAGAAGTGTAAAGTTTTGCTGTGTTGCGTTCATGGTAATAAATGTAGATGCTCACGATCAGAGCTATATGTTCTCTCCTGCACCTTTGTGATTGCTAATTACACTCCTCAGTGTTTTGGAAGAAATGTGAAGCTACATTTGCACTTTATTTATCTGGTAAAAAAATTAAACACACTGACCACTGGCAGGTTCAGAACTGATCGGCCTTTTGGAAAATCTCCCAAATCTTTTGTCTGATCTGCTCCTGATGCAGAGTCTCATATCTGAGCTGCTGAAGCTTGGAGCTCCTTCAGCCTGGTCATGTTGTCCTGGTTTCCTCTCTCACTAGTCTCTTTCTTCCACAGTCACTGAGGACGACCTGAGACGAGGCAAACTGCTGTTTACTGTGCTCAATATGAACAGTTTATCTGTTTTTGCCTTTTAAATGGAAGTGGACAGATAAATAAATTATTTGATCTGTGAACTTTGTCTAAATGCACTTAAAACAAAGACGACCAAACAGAGAGAAACCTATGTTGAATGTACCTAAAGAAACTATAGTGAGAAATATACTATATGGCAGTCAAAGTGCAGGACTTCGTTGCAACACTTTCAGTTCCTGTTGAACCAAAAGTGATTTATCAGTTCGTTTCTGTGGAATTTCATTTCCTCATCTTGTGAAAGTTGCAACAGCAAAAGCTCCATAAATATCCAGTGATTTTACAGTAAAAGTTAAAGATGCTGACTTTCCAAGAAGACAGATCTTTCTGCGTCAGGTCTGCTGATCAGATTTCTGCTCATCTTTTTTGTGCCATTGTTTGAATTTGCTTAACATGTTTGATTTATTTTTGCTCGTCTTCAGCTTGTAAACCTGCATCGTCTCCATCATGAAGTTTCTCCTGGTCTTTTCCATGGTGGCTCTGACCTGACTTTTCACATTTAACAATATAAGATACTAGTTATTTTATATACTTTTGCTCTGTGTGGGACTTTGGTGCCATGTGGTTGTTGTTTTGTTTTTTGTTCTTTTCATTTTCTTGTCAGAATAAATGTCTGGAGAAATAAATCTCCAAAGACAAAGTGTGTCACTACAAATCATTCACTTTTACCAGCTCAATGCAGAAAAGATACAGTCACACTTACTGAGTAACTTTAAGTAAAGTTAGTTTCATTTCTCAAGGAAATGAGAACCTGAGCTTTTTGTTGTTCACATTTAATATTTAGTGTAACTTTAATATTGCCTTAATTCTACTGATTCCATAATATAGCAACTTACAATATGCATATTATTCATTGAAACTAAAAATAGAGCCTCAATGACTAAAATATTGTTCATAAGATTATACATTTTTGCTTAAGCCACAAGGCCCCATGTCTTTATAGAAGAAAACTGGAGAAAACAGAAGACATTAGTCTCTATTGTTACCATGACAACAACAAAAGTATGAGTCCTCCCTCTAAGCAGCACAAAATAAAAATGTCACAATAATAACAAAAACAACACCAGAACGTTCAGAGATTACAGATTCTAACTTGTGGTTTATAAAATGTAAAATGTTGACAACATTTACAAAATAAAATAAAATTTAAAATTTGCTGTGGTTGTAAAAATTGCAGATATTTAAAGTTGTGACAGGAGGCCAGTCGTGCTGTGAGTCTGCTGTGTTTGATCTGTGAGTGTTAGCAGGTCTGATGGAGACAAAGCTGTTGATGGATCTGCTGGTGTTTGACCTGACTGATAAAAGTCTCCCAGAAGTTTAGGACACTAAACTCACAACTAAAGGACAGTTACCTGAACCTTTATCACCACACAGCGGCAGACAATTCCTGACTTTGAAGTCGCTCTACACCAAATACTATAATCCAACTTTTTTGCTATGAGATTATGGGCCTTTATCTACGGGAAAAAATGACAATATAAAAACAAAATTGTGAAAGGAGTAACTCTTCTTGTTTTTAGTTTCACTTCCTTATAGCTTGTAGTCGTGCTGTTTAAATCAAATGTTGCAGCAACTTTTAGTTTCATTTTCTCTGTGAAATGTGTTGAGCACAAATTAGCTAAAATACAAAGCTGTGCATTCAACTGGAGGAAAGAAATGACCCATTTACAACTGTATGGTGTGTTTATTTGTTTGGCATAAAGAATGAAATCATTTTTGTCATTTCCTCGTCTCATCTTTTTACTTTTGTATATATAAAAACTATTTACATTTCCTGATGGAAACATGTAAGGACGAGGAAAAACAAAATATATTCCTGCTTTTATTTTCAGTTATGTCAGTTTTGGTCCTCCATATCCACAACATGCTGCATCACGAAGCAGAAATGGAAGATCAGACATGATTTCATTACATTCAGTACATGCAGCATCTGAAAGGCTCATTTCTTCCACAATACTCAGCAACGGTGGCTCATAAAGTCCAAAAAGACGAATAGTTGGTTGGCACTGAGGTCAGTCTGTATTCACAGCGAAGCAGAGTTTGTTTCGAAGTGGACCGACACCACCTGAAAAAGCGGCCTCGGTCTGGCTGTTGGTGTCTGGGATCTGGGGTTTCCTCTGGTGCTCAGTGTTTTCTTCCTGAGTTCCACCAGAGGGCGCTGTGGGAGCCGTGGCTTGTCCTGCCCAGTGATCTTGATGACCGTTTGTGTTATTTACTGTGACCTTGTGTGCACATAAGATCACTATCAGCAAAAAAAACTATTCATTAATGACTTCATCTCTGAGCAGAATATTGATGTTATGTTCCTGATGACAATAATCACCCATATTAATTGAATCAGCGTTTCTTCATTACATTTTCTAATGTGAGAATAAAAAACAGAAAAGAGGAGGAAGAGATCAGGATATATCAAACTGTAAGAAGGTCATTTTGGACCATTTTGACTTTTTTGAATATCTGGGAATTGAGTCAAAAGTCCATAAACTGAGATATAGAGTTTATGGACTCTATATCCATGAACTCTATATGGATATAGAGTTTAGGTAAAATGGACTCGAGTGTTCTTGAAAACTCAAGTCCATATTACCTGTTGAAAAAGCAGGGGGCGACCAGCAGCAGCAGCATCTGTTTGTTTTGGAACAACGAGATCCTGATTTGAGTCAAAGTACTAAAACCTCCAGATGTCTGGACAGTACAATGCAAAATATATCACTGCATTTTGTGATTTTCATGTGTGAAAACCACACAACTATAAATGTGTAAAAAATACAACTAATGGTGCAACTCTGCCACTTCCTGACATCACATGGTAGCTGAAAGAGTGAAAATATTTCAAGACTTTTTTTTCTAGTCATTTTTAAAGATTATAACTCAGAAAATAAAAATCCAAAAATAATAAAAGTGTCAAAGTCCAGGATTTAGTTACAGCACTTTCAGTTCCTGTTGAACCAGATGTGATTTATTAGTTCGTTTCTGTGGAATTTAATTTCCTCATCTTGGGTATGTGGCAAGATTAGAGGCCCTATAAATATCCAGTGGTTCAGCAGTAAGGACTGAAGGAGCTGACTTTCCTGGTCATCCTGCGTCAGGTCTGCTGATCAGATTTCTGATCATCTTTTTTTGTGCCATTGTTTGAATTTGCTTAACATGTTTGATTTATTTTTGCTCGTCTTCAGATTGTAAACCTGCATCGTCTCCATCATGAAGCTGTTGGCTGTGTTCCTCCTGGTCTTTTCCATGGTGGCTCTGACCAGTGGTAAAAATGAGTATTTATTAAATATAAAGAATCGTAAAGGGACTAAAATACAAGCAAACACACTAATTCCTGTTTTAAATATCCACAGCTGTCTCCATTAATGGCACTCCTGGTGACGGTCAGTGGGAGTTTATGTTATTAGTTTTTTTTATTTCCTCAGACTGAATGCTCAAACCCAAACTCTAAGATATATAGATCTTCTTGTAGTTACCTTATTAAACATAACACATGCTTTCTCTGCAGATTATTTAATAGCCTTTTCTTAAAATGTCTCCACTGCTCCTTGCAAAGCACACATGTAGGTTTGACCTGCACAAGTGTTGATGTGTTCTGTAATTAATATTTGATTTAATTTTAAATCATTTTGATTCAACAGAACAATGTTACTATCAGCCTAAAGCCACATACACATCTTGATCTGAACTCTGAATCCATTTGTTTATTGTCAGATCAAGTTGGATCTATTTCTTGTCCTTTTGGCTGGACTCTGATCAACAATCGCTGCTTTCAATATGTTGCCAATAATATGACTTGGGCTGAAGCCGAGGTGATTTCCAAGACTCTATGATTTTCTTTTGCTCTCTTTTATTTCACAATTCTTAATTAAGCTCAGCTACATCTTCATCAAATCATTATGTGTTTATCTGTAGAGAAACTGTCTGACCTTGGGAGCAAACCTTGCATCAGTTCACAACTCGAATGAGTACAACCAGATTCAGACTCTGATATTTACAGCAAGTCATGAGTCCAAAGAAGTATGGATTGGAGGCTCTAATGCACAGGAGGTACTGTTACCAGTAGACTTTATTTATGAAGTAATTTGTGAAACATTGAATAAAATGTGTCATCTGCTGAACTTTGTCTTCCAGGATAATATTTGGTTGTGGAGCGATGGAAGCCCTATGAGCTACACAAACTGGTGTCGAGGACAGCCTGATAATACCAGAGGCATGCAGCGCTGTTTACAGATGAACTATTCAGGTACAAGAAAATATCACACGTGTGATTTTTCAGTTGATAAAATGACTCCTGGGTAAAAGATTATTAACTGTGCATTTAAACTTTTTAGTCGATCTGCATCCACATTTATTGTATTAACAGCAGGAGTATAGGTTGTTGTTGTAAAAGTTTTAGTTAATCAACCTTTACAAAAAAATTATACTGAGGTTTTTGCAATGACTGATTTGTTGTCTTACTTCTAGGTGGAAAGTGCTGGGATGACTTCTCGTGTCGTGGCCCTAAACCTTCTGTCTGCGCCAAGAAGCCCTGATCACACTGAGGTTCCCAAAGAGCCTGATGTGTAAAACAGAACCAGTGAAGGATGAATGCTAGGAGTTTCTGTTTACCTGCCTTTCTGCACCTTCATAGAAAATACAAAAGATTTTTCTGCTTCTATTCTTCATATCATTTCATTTAGTTTTTATTACTTTTAAACTTTCAAGAACTCATTACTTTTACAAATTTAGCACGTACTTAGAAAGTGCAGAGAATACTTGCTTACAGTTATCTAGCAACCTTCAACAGGAGCACCAACTTTGCATACTTTAGATCAACATTAGATTATTTTCCTTCTTTTGCTCTTTCCTTTGGTTTATTATTGTTAGTATTTCCTTTTAATTCCCATAAAGCACTTTGTATTGCCTTGTTGCTGAAAATGTGCTAAATAAATAAAATTACCTTAATTTCTCTCTTTAATGCAACCTGTTGTTGTGTCCTTGGGCAAGACTCTCCACCCACCTTACCTGCAGGTGGTGGTCAGGTAAGGTGGGTGGATCTCACCTGCTGATGGCGCCGGTGTGTCGCAGCTTCACAGTATGAATGGGAACGACTGATTTCATTGTAAGGTGTCTGAGTGTCCAGAAAGAACCGATCCCAGGGTGAAGCCATTGGATGGTAGGGTTTACCAGCTGGAAGAGTGGCACAGCTAGAAACATCTAGAAACATTTATTTAAGGGAACGGAGGCTCTGAACTATTAAAAGATGTTGCATTTGTGCTGCTATATTGGCAATAAATGTCAAGAGGTTTTGTATGGGATATTTCTAATCTTGGAACATCATCAGCAAATGCTGCTGCAAACTGAATGATCCACTTAGCTGTAATGTAGATAAAACCCAATTTAATAAAGCAGACTGCTTGGAAGATAAATAATAAAGAAATGATCAATAAATACACCTCCAACAAAAACGCACAAAATCTCTGGACCACAAAGAAATAAAATCATGTTATATCAATATATAACATGATTTATAGATAGATAGATAGATAGATAGATAGATAGATAGATAGATAG